AAAACTGAGTCATTTTATTGTGAAACATTAAAAAATTTCTGTGCATTCTGTGGGTGGGTAGGCAGGAGTGTGCTTGTGTATATTTGTATTTGTATTTGCTTGACCATAAAGATAAAATTTTGTGTAAAGATAGACTCTCTGAAGAGAAATCAAGTTGCATTTTACTATATTTTAAAAATTTGATATCATGTACTTGTATTACTATTCGAAAAAGACAATTGTTTTAGGAAAGACCTAGAGGAGGGAGAATGAAAGCAGAGTAGGGTTGGGGGCATGTCTTTGGTTACATTTATGTATGCCTCCTTCCAAGCCTTGTTTCAGTTAGGAAATAAATGGTGAATACGGTAGGGCAAGGTCTGCATTAGGTAAGTTAAGTCTCAACAATATTTAGACTACATTTTACGCAAAGGAAAATTAGACTTTTTTTTTTTTTTTTTTTTCCATTAGAGATGAGGTCTTGCTATGTTTCCCAGGCTGGTTTCAAACTCCTGGCCTCATGCAATCTTCCTACCTCAGCCTTGCAAAGTGCTAGCATTACAGGCAGGAAACTAGATTTGAATTCAATACAATAGAATAGAAACATGCAATGTTACAATTTAGGTCTTATGGTTAAATTAGAATATTAATTAACATTGCACTAACTTCTGGCCTGGTGCGGTGGCTCACACCTGTAATCCCAGCACTTTGGGAGGCTGAGGCAGGAGGGTAGCTTGAGGCCAGGAATTTGAGACCAGCCTGGACAACATAACAAGACCCTGTCTCAACAGAAATAGAAAAATTAGCCAGGCGTGATGGCACATGCCTGTAGTTCTAGCTACTTGGGAGGCTGAGGCAAGAGAATTGCTTGAGCCCTGGTGCTGGAGGCTGTAGGGAGCTGTGATGGGCCACTGCCCTTCCTGCACTCCAGCCTGGGCAACAGAGCTAGACCTGTCTCTATTAATAAATCTGAAGACCTATCTCAATCAATCAATATCAATATTTGACTAATTTCTTAAGAAAAATCATTCTTTGAGAAAATATTTTCATTAATATTATAGTGACATAGATACATTTTTCTGAATAGTCTTTGCAGAAGCTGAGTTGTCTTTCTATCTTACTTTTCCTTTTCTTTTCTTTTTTCTTTTTTTTTTTTTTTTGAGACAGAGTTTCTCTCTTGTCACCAGGCTGGAGGGCTATGGCACCACCTCAGCTCACTGCAACCTCTGCCTCCCAGATTCAAGCAATTATCCTGGCTCAGCCTCTCGAGTAGCTGGGATTATACGCACCAGCACACCCAGCTAATTTTTTATATTTTTGGTAGAGACAGGATTTCACCATGTTGGCCAGGCTGGCCTCAAACTCCTGGCCTCAAGTGATCCGCCCACCTTGGCCTCTCAAAGTGCTGGGATTACAGGGGTGAGCCACCACATCTGGCCTCACTTTTCCTTTTCAATTCATGTTTTCCTTTGTAAAATGGAAATAATGCTTAATATTTATTATGTCCCAAATAGTGATCTAGAGTCCAGATGTTTTACATTGTCTCATTTAATGAAACAGGTATTAGCATGCTCATTTTATAAATTAAAAGTTTTGGAAAGATTATACAGCTACTGAACCTCTACCATTCAAACATAAGCCTGACTTTGAAATCAATATTCATACCTTATCTGGTCTTGGGAAAAGCTGATACTGAAAATAGGAATAGGTTGGTGGTGGGATAGCAAACGTGCAGCTACCCCAAATCACAAAGCAAGGTATGGATTGTCAGAAAGCCTTAGTTATACACGGGGCTGGTGTAGCTGATGGAGCATGTCGCTGTCATCTTCGTTTTCTGCTATTTAAATGGGACTTGGAGTCTTTATACAGTTGCCAAAGGTAAGCATAATTTTAGTTATTCACAAACCATATTGAAACAGATATGGGCTCTATAGAGTCTTTGACCTTTTTAATGGAATAAAGATAGAGAAGAGAAGAGGCCCAGATAATAAACAAGATTAGTCAGACTTGGCTGTCAATGGTGAGAGGTTAGGTTTTAGGGATAAAGTAGAAAGGGAAAGGGCCGGATGTGGTGGCTCACCCCTACAGTCCAGCACTGTGGGAGACCAAAGCAGGAGGATCACTTGAGGCCAGGAGTTCAAGACTAGCCTAGGCAACATAGCGAGACCCTGTCTCTACAAAAATTAAAATAAAGATGAAAGGGATTGCAGGAGAGAAGATGGAATGAGAATGGTGAATTTGCATGCTGTATGGAAAGGGAGCACTTGTTTCCTAGTACAGGGATCGTCACATTTGAAGGATAAATGAAAAGACCTTGAATGTGAGTTAAGGCCTGACAAAATAACAATCAGAAAAGAAGTTGCAGTTCCAGTGGCATGTACCTGTAGTCCTAGCTACTCAAAAGGTTAAAGCAGAAGGATCAGTTGAGCCCAGGAGTTCAAGTCCAGCCTGGGCAACATAGTGAGACCCCGATTTAAAAATTAGCCAGGCAAGGTAGTGCACACCTACAGTCCTAGCTACTTGGGGGGCTGAGGTGGGAGGATTGCTTGAGTCTAGGATTTGAAGGTTACAGTGAGCTATGATTATGCCACTGCACTCCAGCCTGGGTGACAGAGCAAGACCTTGTCTCTAAATAATAAAATAAAAATAAAATGCTATAAGGATTCAAAAGAAGAGTGACTAGGGATGATTTCACTAAGAAGTCCTGAGGAGGGAGGAACAGACATTACCGAAGACAGGAGATATTGATGTATACAAGGTAATTGCAGTTGACAAAGAGTAGGCGTGACTAATTGGAGCAGATTGTGTCCATGGTGTAGTGGATTTCATGCATTTTTAACCTCAAGTATTTTTTTAAATGTTGAACTTCAGTATATAAAAGAGAGGCCTGGGGGTGGTGGCTCATGCCTGTAATCCCAGGCATGGGAGGCCAAGTTGGGCAGATCACTTGAGGTCAGGAGTTTGAGACCAGCCAGGCCAACATGGTGAAACCCCATCTCTACTAAAAATACAAAAATTAGCCGAGCGTGGTGGTGCACGCCAGTAATCCCAGCTACTTGGGAGTCTGAGGCAGGAGAATCGCTTGAACCCGGGAGGCAGAGGTTGCGGTGAGCCAAGGTCGCGCCATTGCACTCCAGCCTGGGTGACAGAGTGAGACTCGGTCTCAAAAAAAAAAAAAGAAAACTCACTGTATCCAACACTGAGTAGTTGGGATTACAGGCTCGTGCACCACGCCTGGCTAATTTTTGTATTTTTAGTACAGACGGGATTTTACTATGTTGGCCAGGCTAGTCTCGAACTCCTGACTTCAGGCGATCCTCCTGCCTCAGCCTCCCAAAGTGCTGGGATTACAGGCCTCAGCCACTGTGGCCGGCCATGGTTGGGATTTTTAAAAAGAAACACAAATTTAAAAAACCAGTGTGAATTTTCCACCATCTTATAAGGGTGAAAAGCCCCTCACCAAGTCTAGATGAACGTTCATGCATGGATTTGAGGGCTTGGGAAAGACAGGGCTTGGCTCCACAGTCCAGGTAGGCCCAGTGAGCCTATGAGAGGGGCCAGGAGGTGGGAGGTCCCCTATGGGCAGGAAGTCAGGTATGTACTGTTATATGACTGGTGCTTGATGAACCAGGGGAGAGGGCACCAAGAATAACGCTATTTAATTGTAAAATCACCACCCTCTGAGGATATGTTTTCAGGTCTGGGTGACTAAATTAGACTGGGAAACAAGGGAGGGAAAGATGGCCCTGTGCTTCCTTTGCCCGCTGCCTCTTGGTGGACGGGGGGCCGCTGGCTTCAGTCCTACTTTTCTTTCTGATGTGCCTTGTCATTTATGCATAAATATTTAACTAGACATTTCAATGTCTTACTGCAGGGCTAGAATTGGTTGTGAATATTATATAACTTAATATGAGAAAAATAAGTATTTTGCAAGCAAAGCTGCAAAGGCAATATTAGAAAAGAGAATTTGCAGAAGGCCTGAGGCAGGCTTGCGTCACTCTGTTCTCCTCCTCCCCGGGGGACCTCACTCTCCTCCTCCTCAGCAACCGGAGGACTCTCCGGTTGGGGTCTTGTCTTTGGGGCCTTTGGGCCTTTGCTGTCCCTGGGATAAGAATGATCATGCCAAGGCTTTGATCCTTGGAAGGAGCAATTCAGCTTTTCACCCCCTCCTGGTTTTAGATGGGAACCGTGAAGGCCCCGTTGTTTACTCCACGTCCTTGTTAAAGATTGCATCTTCATTGGAAGACTCCTTGTCGAGAGGTTTCTGTGTTATGTTTTTTCACTCACGTGGCACTGAGAGGTCTGTTCATATCCCTAAGCCAGGGTGGCTGTCTTAACAAGAAAAAGCCATCCTGGAAGACAGAAAGGGAAATATTCATTTTGCACGTCCTCTGCTTTCTCTGACCACAGCAATGAATCCTCCCCCAATGTACCTTCGCGATGAGCATCTCTTATGTGGCAGAAATCTGGAAAGGCCCCTGGGGAGACGCAGGCACAAGACAGTGAGTGATGCTGCCGTTTGCCACGTCTCTCACAATGTACTTCTCTGGTCTTATTAGGACTCGATGAGTACCTCAGTCTATAATCACAGTCAGCAGAACCATTGCAGACCACACGCCTGGGGTCTTGAAAATCACTCCACACAAGTGAGACTTTCAGAAGCTCTCCATGTCTGTCCGGAAGGGCCCCACAATGTCTCTCGGGGCACCTTGTATGTGGCTCAGCATGGAGCATGGGCAAGACGTTCAGTACCACTCACCCCCTTGGCCAGGTGCCCTTGTGCAATGAACAAACCGCACAACCATGCTGGGCAGAAGCATTTTATATCAGTCCCCTTCAGATGTAGTCTCACGGGCATCATTTGATGGGGGGTGGGGGATGAAGTGGTTCTTTTTTTTTTCTAGATGCTTTATTCTATAAGTTGAATCACATCAAGCAAATGCCTGAGTGCAACTAGCCAAGTTAATCTATCTCACAGATCTTTATATGGCAGGCTGCCACTGGCAAGTGAGTGTACTGTGACATCAGCTTAAAGGACAACATAATTCTTCTTGAATATGAATAAAGAGCCAGAGTGCATTGTTTCAGAAACCACTTCTGTCTGTACAGTCTGTATGTGTTGATTTGTGGCGCAGAATGTGGCTCACAGCCCAAGCACAACATAATCAGTGAAGTCCCCAGCGAGCACAGAGCCATCCTCTTCCTGATCCTTGCCAGCAGTGTGGCCACGGAGCAAGACACTCTCCCTTTCTCAGTTTTCCCATCATAGAAGGACAAACTACTAAGGCCTCTCGTAGTTAAACAATTCTATGAGGTTTGTGTAAAAGGGATAGAGTGGGGGCCCAAAAACCAGTAGGATGAGAAAGTAGTGTTTCCTCAGTTCTAGGAACCAGGGAAAAATAAATAAATGAAAAAGTAGTGTTTCCTGCCTGGGTCTTGAGAATAATTCCATGCATGTGGAATCATAGTTCTCAGGATATTGTTCTCAGTTATAGTCTGTATCTCAGGAGATATATCTCAGGATATAGTTCTCAGTTTTCCATTGGCCCATATGCCATTCTGCCCTGGACACCTTTACCTCTTGCCGCTTACTGAGAAGCTTCATCAGGAGGCCTGTCCTGGAGATGAGCTTGGCACAGGCCAGCTGCACGTGGGTCTCAGAGCAGTCCATCTTCAAGGCTCGGAGAACATGAGAAATGAGCCTTCTCACATCAGTGTTGGGGATGAGGGACCCTAGCTGCTGCTTTAGCTGAATTTCAAACTGATCACCTGGAGACAAGAGCAATGGGTAATTGAAGCTATTGGGCTTGGGGGACAGGTCAGTGCCCACGTTGTTGAATTCCCATCGTGTTTCATTGGTTTGTTTAACAGTTGGCCCTAAGTTGAACGCAGTCCCAGCGGAATCTGCCCCAGGAGGAGTATGGTAGGTTGTGTTTTCAGAAATGGTGTGCAACTGGTTTGTTTTTAACTTTAAAACCTTCATATTTGTAACTCTAGCCATTGCATCTTCAAAAACAAAAATGGTATAGGTTAAGTCTTTGGATCTGCTTCTGACCTCAGGTCAGGCTTTTGCAGATCTACCTCTGTCCTACACTTGAGACCTCATGCATAAAAAATCAGCTTACAAACCACATCGCATTATATGACTAAATTACCACTGGGGGCAAAGCACCAAGCAGAGAGCACAGTACACAGTACACAGTGTGTGGATGTTAATGTCATTCCCTACCCTTTCCATTCCTTTCTCTTTGTCATTTATGCATATAGAACAGCTCTAGTATTAAATTTTGTAATAATAACTGAGAACCTGACTCTCAGCAAGGAAGTAGTTCAGAAATTCAGGGAGTTTAACTCTGAATGAGTAAGTTAAAATAAAGCAATTATGTCATTAGCTGAACATTTTATCATCAATTAAAAATAAAAGCTTTAAAAGCAAATAACTAAAATAATGTAACAATTTATCACCAGACAATTTGGACTCATGACAATGTGTGGTGTTTGCCGGACACGCACTACTGCAATGCAGCTTCACCATCTTGCAGACAACCTCAATATTCTTTTAAAATTGGCAGAGGCAGCAGGCCACATGGCTAGGTAAGATCCTTAGATGGAAACACAGAGCAATAAATTAATGATAGAGGGGTTACTTGAGTAGGTAGAGGAGGCAGGCCAGCAGCACCACAGAGCTGGGCAAAAAGGAGCTAGTGAGGCCTACGGACTGAACAGTGGATAAGAGCCGAAGGCCAATAGGAAGGAGGACAGAGGTGCCCAACAGAAGGGTGAGCATGGCAGTGAGTATGGTATGCCTAGAATAAAGGTGGCTGGGATTAGAGTTGGGTGACACTGTTCAGTAGTTTAATTCAGAAGTATCTCTTCCCAACTCAAAAAGTCTTACTTTGGGCTGAAAGTACACAGGAAGAAGGTAGACTTCAAAGAAGAGTCTGAATAAGCCCCCAACTTCTGGAATCCCTTTCTCAATCCCCGTTGGGAGTGGGAAATGTTAGAAATTACTCTGGGCATTAAAAATAGCTTAGTTTAACCAGCATTGTGGGGTTGAATAATAACACAGATTGCACTGGTCAAATCTGTACAATTCGAGCATTCCAAAGAATAACAATAAGGTACAACATAATTAATAGAAAGAAGAATCTGTGAATAATGATATTCAAAAAGAAAAGAAGGCAAAGATTTTCTTTTCTGTGCCTTTTTTTGATAGAGTCTTGCACAGTTTTGGATCACTGCAACCTCTGCTTCCCGGGTTCAAGTGATTCTCCTGCCTCAGCCTCCCGAGTAGCTGGGATTACAGGTGTGTGCCACCGCGCCTGGCTAATTTTTGTATTTTTAGTAGAGATGGGGTTCCACCATGTTGGCCAGGCTGGTCTTGAACTCCTGACCTCAGGTGATCCGCCTGCTTTGGCCTCTCAAAGTGCTGGGATTACAGGAGTGGGCCACCATGCCAGCCCGTCTGTTTCCTTATGATGAGATTCAAGTTCAGCCTGACCAACAAGGTTAAACCCCATCTCTAAAAAAAAAAGGCCACAGACAAATCCAGATTATGGGACAATTTACAAGACAACTATCTTAGACTCTTAAAAAATGCCAATGTCATGAAAGATCAAAAAAAGGGATGTTTTAGATTACAGGAAACAGGCTGGGCATGGTGTCTCACACCTGTAATCCCAGCACTTTGGGAGGCCAAAGCAGGCAGATCACCTGAGGTCAGGAGTTTGAGACCAGCCTGGCCAACATGGTGAAACCCCGTCTCTACTAAAAAATACAAAAATTAGCTGGGCATGGTGGATCATGCCTGTAGTCCCAGCTACTCAGGAGGCTGAGGCAGTAGAATCGCTTGAACTCAGGAGGCAGAGGTTGTGGTGAGCCGAGATTGTGCCATTGTACATCGAGTTCCTCTTCAAAGGTTATATTTGTTCAACTCCCTTGCTCTTTGTTCTCTATTTTCAAAGCCTAACTTCCTTGATCTTTGGACTTTCTTGCCCCTAGTTAGAGTAAATAACCTTCTAGCCATTCCCAATCTGTAACCCACATCTGTTCCTTATTTGGAGCCCTTAGTTCCAAAACTGCTCTTACTACCACTGTAGCCCCCACCCCTGCTTCATTTGAAGTAGCAGCTTAGATTGTGCCCTTGACTCCAGCCAGTGGAGACTGGACACAGTAGCAGGGACTGGCTGCATTAGGGATAGAAACCCCTTCCCTCCTTTGGTGTGCTCTCACAGTGACCAGGGGAGCAAGCAGCACCCTTCAGAAGTAAATTTGCCTTGCTGAGAAATTCTTTTTTTTTCTTTGAGTGCTTGTTTTGTTTGGACTCTGAGCTCTTATTTCCAACATTGGGAGGCCAAGGTAGGAGAATTGCCTGAACCCAGGAGGTGGAGGTTGCAGTGAGCCAAGATCGTGCCACTGCACTCCAGCCTGGATGATAGAGCAAAACTCCATCTCAAAACAACAATAACAACAAAAACAACCCTTAGATAGCAGGGAGATGCTGGAGGGGTGGGGTCAGAAGAATGTGTGAGAGCACTAATTTCCTAGAATTTTCCTCCACGGGACTATATTTCAGAAAACACAGTGGTAGAGCTACTTCTCCATTCACGTGTACTGCCCTAGCTTCTCTCAATCCCCCTGAGGGTCAGCTGTGTGCTGCCAACTTGGTTCCCTCCAACCCCACCCAGCAACCCCCCCCCAACCTTCTGCCCCACCTGATGTACATTCATAGCTGCATTGTTGTATAATGGCAGTAGAATGTTGCAGAAGACACAAGGATTCCTCCCCTCTGTCTTCAAAGAAAAAGACACTAATCACATTTGGTAAGTTAGTAAATGTTAAACACATTCATCAGTAAAAGAAAATCTGAATGAACAAGAATTGGTAATCTACCTAGCTGAATGCAAATGAATGCTGGCAGTTCAGTAATAGGAGATAAAGAATGGCACTAACTGCAGAACAGTAGAACCCCCTCCCACCCAGAAGCCATGTGACTAGGAAGCGGCCCCGTGCTGGTGGGGGTTGCTAAGCAAAGCCAGCTGCCTATCAGTTCTGGTGAGTTTGCTGATGCCAGACAAAAGACACCTGTTCTCTTGCTGCCTGCCCCAGTTACCTCCCAAAGTCCCTTACTGAGAATGGAAAGCATCTTTCTCTGTGACTTCAGTGAACCAACAAATATCTGAGTTCAAAGTACAAGAGTAAATAGTCATAAGTATAGGCAGAGCAGCAGCTACCATTTACAATGTGCTTACTTGACGCCAAACCCTGAGTTAGGCATTTTACAGTCTTACATCATTTGGCTCAGCAATCCATGGAAGGATAGTTTTTAAAATCATCATCTGACAGATAAGAAAACAGGGCTCAAAGAACATAGGTGACCTGCCCAAGTGTCCAAGGCCATACATCCAAAACGTCAAGTTAGGGTTTTAAGCCAGGGCTGCAGATGAAGAAGGCGGGAGTCTATGGTGGAGTCACATGGTGGAGACCTAGCTAAGTCAGAGGCCTGGAGAGGTGTCATTCTAGCTGGGCAGCAGGTGACACACAGTCATCCCCTGAGGTGACTAGAGAAACACCTGGGACTGACCGAGATTTTTTTTCTGGAATGTTCTCACTGGAATGAAATCTGAGTGGTCTGCAGGCCATACAGTATCAGAGAAAACACAGCCCTCATTGAAAATGGCTTCCAGGGAAAGGGTGTCCACAGGGAAATTCAGGGTTTTTAAAAATTTGTTTTGTTTGTTTTGGAGACAGACTCACTCTGTCGCCCAGGCTGGGAGTGCAGGGGCATGATCTCAGCTCACTGCAACCTCCACCTCCTGGGTTCAATGATTCTCCTGCCTTAGCTTCCTGAGGAGCTGGGATTACAAGCGCCCACTGCCACACCTGGCTAATTTTTATTTTATTTTTGTAGAAACAGGGTTTCACCGTATTGGCCAGGCTGGTCTTGAAATCCTGACCTCAAGTGGTCAGCTTGCCTTGGCCTCCCTAAGTACTGGGATTATAGGCGTGAGCCACAGTGCCCCGCCAGGAAATTCAGTTTCTGAAAATACACCTGTGTGTCTCTAGCCTTGACCATCCCTGGATGTTGCTTTAAATGGCTGATCCTACATGCCTCCCTTCCAGCTCTCCTACATCAATCTCCCAGAAAAAGGGTCCTAGTTTATTATTTTGTAGAGTTGGGTCTCACTTTGTTGCCCAGTCTGGATTTGAGCTCCTGGCCTCAAGTGATCCTCCCTTCTTGGCCTCCCAAAGCACTGGGATTCCAGGCGGGAGCCACTGCGACTGGCCGGAGGCCTATGTTAAGGCCTTTTATGCTCACTCTGCCGTGTGACATAGAGGGCAGGGAGGGAGCAGGGGTGCCCTGGCATCTTCAGCAGGTGGTGAGCAGGGCGCTGAGGGTGGGAGAGGCCAGGCGCCTGGGGATGGGAGGCAGGATCGTATCTTCACAGGACGCTGCCACCCCCACCCCGGAGGTCAGGGCCTCTTGCCCAGCTCTGGCTCTGAGGTCCTGGAGGGAGGGAGATGCTGTTGCCACTCGGAGGATGCGGGGAGAGGAGGGAAAATCCTGAGCCTGAAACATACGTGGAACCGGTTGGAGCGGAGGATTTAGAGGGTAGTGTTGGGAGGAGGGGCTGGTGCCGCCCTGTGGGCGGGTCGTTGGGGCTCGCGGGGCTGAAGACACCGAAGATGGCGACCTGCGAACCATGGGGAGGCTCCATGCCCTGGACTTCTCCACCGGCTAGCAACATGCGTGCTCAGTAAGCTCCATGTTTAACGCACTGTTGTATCAGGTCCCTGGCGCAGCCGCTGGCCCCATCGCCTGATAAAAACGCGGATGCCTGCATTGGTGAGCTCCTGCTGCAGCCACCAGACGGCGGCTGGAACGGGGTTCTCGCAGGCCTGTGCTCGGCTCGAACGCCGGGCCGGCTGCTGCGCCCTGCGGCTCCCTGCAGGCCTGCGGATCGGCCAGGTGCTCCGTTCCCTCTGGGCGTCCGCTGAAGGGCTTCTGGGCGAAGGTAGAAGCTCACGCGGGCCCGCGGGACCCCCTAAGGCGCCGGCTGGCATCTGGCAGGCTTTCGTTTCTGCTTCATTCCATGGCCAAAGCAAGCCACGTGGGCAAGCCGGAAGCCGGGGTGGGGTGGGGTGGAGTGGGAAGTACCCTCCACCCACCGCGAAGCCACATGTCATGTGTCTGGGGGAGTAGGGTTGTGGGGAGATTAGCACCAATGTCCTGGCCCTCCTTCTGAAGGCACATGCTCAGATACACACAAATGCTGGTGAAGACCGTGTTCAGTAATCTCCTTTGCCAACCTCACTCCCCATCCCAATACCATCTGTATAAGCCCACATAAGATGAAATAAGATTGGCCTTGGTTAGGCTGGGAGTGGTGGCTCATGCCTATAGTCCCAGAACTTTAGGAGGCTGAGAGGGGAAGATTGCTTGAGACCAGGAGTCCAAGGCCAGCCTTGTCAACATAGTGAGATCCCATCTCTGAAAAACGAAATAGGGAATGCTAATGCTGCCTGGCTGGACCACACTTTATTATTTTATGTATTTATTTATTTTGTAGAGACGAGGTCTCGCTATATTGCTCGTGCTAGTTTTGAACTCCTGGCCTCAAGCCATCCTCCTGCCTTGGCCTCCCAGAATGCAGGATTACAGGTATGAGCCGCTGTACCCGGCCTGGGCCACGCTTTATTATACAGATCTACAATTTTTTTAAAGCAGGGTCTTACTCTGTCTTCCAGGCTAGAGGGCAATAGCGTGATCATGGCTCACTGCAGCTTTGAACTCCTGGGCCCAAGCCTCCAGAGTAGTTCAGACCACAGGCATGGGCCACTGCGCCCAGCAATTTTTTTTAAATTTTTTGTAGAGACAATGTCTCCGTTTGTTGCCCAGGCTGGTCTCAAACTCCTAGGCTCAAGCAGTCCTCCTACCACAGCTTCCCAAAGCGTTGGGATCACAGGAGTCGTCCACTGTGCCTGGCCCTGGACCAGACTTGAACTAGCAAGGTTCTAGATTCTGAAGTGCTTTCCAGGTGCTTGAAATCACAATTTCTTCAGCCAGTGGGGTGTTGGCGGGGGCTGTGCTAAGGATAGAGTGACCAA